GTTTACATTTATAATAACAACAACAACAACAATAATAATAAAATATGAAAACACACAAAAGTATAAAAAGTACAAAAGAAATTGTAGAAAACACTTGGACACATTTATAATATCATATATCATTATATTAAACAAAAATAAGTGTGACAAATAAGAATAATTTTAATAGATAAATAAATATAAAAAACTGTAAAAAATTTTGGAAACATATTGATTATTATTATCACTATCATCAAAATTTTCCATGTGAAAAGCACGCACACACTTACTAGTACATTAAAGCCATTAAAATACAATGGCCAAAGTAGTGAGGTTTAAGATCATGTGGAGAAAGTCACCAAGCAAGGAACTGTGAAGACTGACAAGTTCCTTGGAACAACACTTTGAAGAAGGTTTCAAACAATGGGACAATGGATTTCTAGGTGAATTTGGTAATGACGGTTAAAAGTGCACCTCTTTAGGTGTCTGTGTACAAGTATCATATCTCTTGTTCCATGTTTTGTTGGGCAAGTAACAAGGTATTTGTTGTAATTTGAATTTTACAAGTCATTATTTACCAACATTTCTTGTTTTTGGTAAATGGGATCAGAGGGCCTCTGGTGGTAACCACCTTGTTAAAAAAGTTCCATGGTCTTGGAGAGAACCGAATTGAGATAACTGTTAGTAATTTGAAATGGCTTGTGAAGAAAAGGAGATATTGTTCTTCATATTGTTGGATAGGGAGCTCTTGCTACCTTATATTAGATATTGGAATCTTCTATCATTCTACAATTGCATCTTAGGCAAATTAGTTTTGTTTGTAAAACTCTCTGATGCATTAGAGCTAGTTTTCCATCGTACACCAATGTAGATATTGGTTCTATTTTCTTTTTTTTTTTAATTTTGTGCTACAAATTAGTAGTTCTTGATTTTTCTATTCCTTTTAATTAATTCATGGAAAATTAGAAGTTAAAACATTTTTAAGTGGGACCCACCTGAGTAGGCAGGTCTTAAGCAGGACAAGGGTTTTAAAGTGGGATCCATCAGACTTTTTTTAACTTGAGCAATGCCACATAAACATGCCTTATTATTTTATTTGTTCTCTAATAAAACCATTAGCAACATCTCTAATGTTGTTTGTTTTTGCCTTATAGTGGCCTTATCAACATATTTTGAGGATGAAAATGGCCCTTACAATTCTTTAGGGTCTAAAGTGTTTTTTACTATGGTTAGTTGATTTTTATTATTTTTAAATGGAATATAAATGGATTATAATTTTTATGACATTTTATTCAATGTTTTCAACCTGTCATTGACTTGGATGATTGAATCATTCAAATTGTGACATGACTTATTTATAGTTCCAGATTTCTGAAAACCCACTATTTTATCAAAAAACATTGATTTGGTCAAAACTTGTTCAACTTGAACTAGTAACCCTTTTGACCCAGTCAATGTGTTAAAAACTTTTGAATGACTTAACTTTATGTTAGGTTGTCATATTGGAGAGATTTTTTATTTTATTTTGGATAGTTTTCCACAATCTTTGAAACCCCACTATACGAAAAATATTCAAATTTTGCCTCAAATTTCAATTTTCAATCTTTTATTTTTAAAAAAGTAAAACTAAAATAAAAAGTACAAATTAGAAATATTATACGCACACACACACACATCTACAGATGGATAATGTGTCACAGTTTAACTTGTTCGACTCACACAATTGAGTCATTAACCTATTACCTAGAGGCAAAAACTATTCAACCTCTAAGCTAGTTTTTAAAATACCGGTTTTATTTGTTGATTGAAGTAAGTAATATTTATTCTGAAAAAAAATACTTGATTAATTAACTTAAAAATGAACTATTTAAACAGAAGTAGATTATTTACCCTAATAAATAATTAATACAATTAATCATTGAATATTTCTATTTCAATATAATTAATTTTTATTAAAAATTATATATAGATCACTTTCATTTCTAGTGCCACGTTTCACATATTTGATTTGACTAGCAGGCCCGTTTCACAATTGGACTTAAAACTTATTCTTCTATGGAGCTACATAACCCGGGGGTAGGGATAGCAATTTTCTCCATCCCCGCTAAGTACCCAGCCTCTCCGATCAGGTGGGGATGGGATGGAGATTGTCTTAGTAGGGATAGGATGGGAATGGAATTAATAAGAATACCTAATTGGGGACAAGGAGTGAAGTCCACTTCTCGCCCCAACCCTGATTATATATTAAATATGTGTATATATATTATATTAAATATTTAATAATATTTTTGTTATTTATATATCAAAATATATTTAAAATATTATTTGCATTTTAATTTTTCCTTTATTTTAAATAAATACATTTATAAAAACAAACTTTTAATTAAATAATTCAAGGATTTAGGTGGTAGTCATAAATGTAGTATCCAATACTTATGGAAATTATAAAAACTTTCCAATTATTTTTATAATTTAAGTTTCACTAGATTAACAAAAAATCACTAATTATTTCTCAAAAATTATAGTAAATATCAAAATTACTGAAATATAAAAAAGAATTTATATTTATTGAAATTAATTTTCAAATAAAAAATTACTGAAAATTTTTAGTTATTGTTTGGCAATATCATTAAATATTAATAAATTGACCAAAATTAATGAAAATATCAATAACTACTTATTGCTAAAAATTATTGATAATTTTTAATTATTAAATATTTATTTATTAATATTTTAATTATTTATTAATTTTTAGTAATTATTGATTTCAATAATTAATTTTCAAAAAATCTGAAATTAAATTACCAAAATCGGTAATTTTTAGAAAGTAATTCTTAGTAATTAAAATTTTTAATTTACCAGAATTACAAAAAATTATAGTTTAGGTATTGATATTTACTAACTAATATTCAATGATATCAGTAATTATTGAAAATATAAAAACATTTCACAAATTAATTTAACTGCCCAAATTAATTTAATTACCCATGTTTTTGGTTTTTAGATGGCTTATAATATAGATTAAGAGGTGTTTTAGGAGGAATTTTAGATGGGAGAGATTGTTTAAGAGAAATTTTAGGAGGGGGTTGAGACGATTGGTAACATGAGAGAGAAAGAGAGAGAGAGAGAGAGAGTTGGAGTGGAACTCTAGTAAAGAAGAGAGGACTGCCATGTGGCAATATAGATTAAGATGTGTTTTAGGAAGAATTTTAGGTGGGAGAGATAGTTTAGGAGAAATTTTAGGAGGAGGTTAGCTAAGTGATTGAGAACATGAGAGAGAGATTTGGAATGGCACTCTAGTGTAGATGAAAGGGCTCCCACGTGGCTACATGGAAGGGCTAGGAAGGGGTAAGGAAGAAAGGAGAGAGGTTTGAAGAGAGAAGAGAGAAGGGGGAATGGGAGAAGGAAAGGGCTGCTGAGGTGGGGCCTAATCACTTTATAAATAACAAAACTGATCTTATTGACAAAAGGTAGGCTCAGTTTGGAAGGAATACAAATGCAAATATGTACAATACAAATACATACAAAATATAAGGCTTTGCACTCTACAAATTTGTATTTGCACTGCTTCCAAACTGAGCCTAAAAAGTTTAATGCATTAACATTTATGAATAATTTCCATATCTGATTGGTTGCTTTCTTGGGCATATGCAAATCCATATCTGAACTCAAATGCATTATATGATGGTGGCAAAGTTGAAATTTCTCTATATTGCATGGAACTTAAAAAATGGATGCTGTATACATGTCAGATACGTAAATTTTAGTATAAATTCGATGTTGTGTACACCTTGCCCAACCAATGTCCTTGCAATGTCCATGTAACCAAGGAAATTTTGAATTAATGTTATTAACTTTCGGTACATCATCATACTAACAATGTCCTAACAATCTAATAGAAAAGTTTCAATAGAGGGAGATGCCAAGTTCCGTGACTTTATTGTTATGTTCATAGAAACCAGCGCTAAAGCAGGGTTCAATCTTTTAAGGTGCACACTTTTTTTTTTTTTTTGTCTTTTTTCTATTAATGCTTTAAATATAGAATTTAATGAGAGAGAGTGGGAATTAATTAGGGAAAATGGGTATTTTAGTAAAATAATTTCAGAAGCCATATGAGCTATTCAGACTTTTATAATAGTAGATATAGATATAGATATAGATATAAATATATAGATATTGATAGATTGGTTTTAAATTTCCAAAACTACCCCTTTTATGTTTCAATTGATTACACCCATTACCAACACAATTGGAGTGGCACCCAAGTCGTCCCCTTGATCTTAATTATTAATTAATTAATTTTCATTAAAACTTAACAAATTAATAATTTATGTACTTATTCATTTATTAATAGCTAATTTAATAAATAATGTATTAGTTACTAATATTTCTTATTTCTTAACCATTTTCTAATAATCAATATTCACAAACATTCTCCTTCTTAAAGGCAAATTAAAATTTTCAACTATTGTTTTATGGAATCTAATTAATCTAACATTCAAATTCATAACAATATTCTATACATTCGAATGTCAGATAAAGTGGGTCCTAAGACTACTAACTAGAGATAGTTTTTTTGTGGAGAGCCCCATCCCATATCCAACTCTCAAGGCTGCATATGTATCTCGTTAGTTGATGGAATGGATAATTAAATGATTTCAGAAGTTAATTATTGGGCTCCAATATTGAAGATTGGATGGCCATACTGAAACCTTCTCCAAGTGATGAATTAGTGGACACTAATAAAGAGATTAGTAAGAATATTTTCCATGCAGATCTAAACTGTAATTATGTGATCAAAATCACAAAATTCATCAAACCCCAATGTCAACAAAAATAAATAAATAAACTCCAGATGCAATGAAGCATAAATAAACAAGAAATTACTGCTATTCCAAACAACAATAAAGATTGAAGTACCATTGATATCCCTTGATAATGAGATTCTCGCAACCTCACAAACAGGCATAAAACTGGAGAATTGGGTTATGGGAAATGCTCTAAAGATGCTTTCAATATCTTCATACATAACAGATGCTTTCAATGTACTGATATGTAGAAGACCACCAGAATTTCAGTGGCCGTGAATTCTGAATGGGTTCAGGGACAATACGTAACTTTCTTAAGGCTATATCTTTAAGATTATATGAAAAGACCTCATGATCACCAACTGTGTGTATCACAAGCGATAAATCTTCTTCTTCTTCTTCTTCTTCATCTCCTTCTCCCCGAACAAGATGCAATATAGAGAAACATATGTCTAGATGGATTGGAGCAATTGGTACATCAGAATCGACCTGATATTTCAAAACCCATCCAGAGTAATCTGTCTCCATCTCAAATATATGAAAGCACGTAGTCTGTGGTTCATCCAAAGGCCGATCGAAGTCTGTCCCAATAAGATACAAATGGCCTTGGGACTCCCCAATGTAGAGATACATCCTATTCCTATATTCCCTATCAATAGATATCAGAGGCATCGATGGCATTCTTCTGAAACACTCTCTCTCAACGTCAAAGCTTAGAGAGGACCCCTCCGTGGAGATCCAGTGCATTGCACCATTCCACAAGACCCCACGATCGAAATTCATACCGAGGGAAGTGAAAGGTTCTCCACAGATCTGTCTCCATTGTTTTATCTCCGAATAGTAGATCTCAATCTGCCAATGCCAGCCATCGTTGCTGCTGATGCAGATGGCCTTGTAGTGAGGTGATTTGCAAGGATCAAAGGCTATGTTCACGAAGGAGTGCACAACTCCACCTCCAAGCGTGGGCGGAAGTTTTCTGTACTGCTTCGTCGTTGGGTTGCAGATGTAATAGGTGAAGTAGAAGTAGTCAGTACACCTTCTCCTGCTACGACAGCATATGAGACCATTGCAAGAGTGCGTAACTTCAAGACCTACAGAGTCTTCAACAAAGCTTAGATCTCTGATGGGGATGTCATCATTTGAGTTATTCCTGTCCAGGAAAACGAAGTAGAGCTCTGAGCTATGGACTCTTTTAAAGAATAATGCAGAGACGACATTGGTGGTACGATTGCGCAGGTTGACAAAAAAAGGATCAGAGATGAGAGAGAGCCATCGTTTGCAGACAGACTTAATCCTAAGAAGAGATTTGATGGGTAAGTGTAAGAAGATATTGGTTATGAGGTCATCACTGTCGGCAACAATCGCAGCTGACGACGATGTCTGCTCGAGTTCTTCGTCCTCAAGGTCTGCTTCCTTGTTAGCACCAAGCATGGTTGACAGCGTCCGATCAGGCTCTTCGCCATTAAGGGTACTGGTCACAAGGTCTTCTTCCAGCTTGTTGGTAAGCTGGGCTAAGGACATCTGCTCAGGTTCTTCATCATCAAGAAGGCTTCTGCTTGCTCAGGCTGTTTCTCCACTACAGATTCCAGCTACGAAACCTTCAATATTATTTTCCGACGATGACGATCAGGCTCTTCTAGTTCTTGGCTGGGATCATGATCGGAGTTTTTACCAGTCCAACAGATTTTAAAGCAATACATCTTCGGCATCAAAGATCCGATTGCCTAGCCACGTTACAAGGAGGAAGGATATATTAATAGTGGCTTATTACAAGGGAGACAGTTATTGTTAGTATTTTGTTTGTTGTCTTAGGATGAGTGTGGCATGTTCTCTCTTGATTGGTTGCTCTGCCAGGTGAGTAAGATTTTGTCTTCACCTGGCTCGTGCAGGCCCCATATGTATAAGATGTGAGCTCCATGTGGGCCCTATATCTACACAACAATGGCTTGTTCACTCTTGACAGGTCGCCTATAGCTAGCTCGGTGCAGGCCCCTTAAGGGTGCAACTAAGGCGGCCCAATTAGAGCCCCCACCGACCCAGTGGAATTTTATACGAACTGGACCCGCTTAGTTAACCCAAGTATGGACCCGCTTGTGACAATTGCATTGACTACTTTCTTTTGTCTTGTGACCTAACTATCCGCTATGGACCGGCTTAGTTAACCCAAGTATTTAAAAGGGTGAGTGACAAAACAAGAAAATGAAAATAAAAAACAAGGGCAAAACCAGGTTTTTGAAAATTTAAGCAGATCACACAGGTTCTGACGGTCAACTAATGCAAGGGCACTTTCAGTAGATTTGTGAAGTAGGTTTTGATATCCATGGGTACTTTTAGTATTTGGCAAATAGTTGAAGTAACTAACTCTTAATTGAAACAATGGAGACAAGAAAATATTCAAAAAAAAAAGGAAAATTTTTAACCAAAGCATGTCTTGGAAATAATAGCATCTTTGCAAGATACAGAACCAAGTTGGTATAAACGAAGATTTCTTCTTCCCCTTTGCCCTCAACCAAGCCAAGGAAGCTGGCCTTGCAAAAAACATTGGCCAGTCAATCCAAATAAGGCTGTTTCCAAGATTTCAGAATCCGGATGTAGGCGAAGGACAAGATCCAGTTAGACATTTATGCGCATAGACCTCGGCTGCCCTTGCCCTGCAATAATAATGGTGGTTATCTATGGGGGGTGATCCTTGGCATTATAGGTAATGCCTCTCAGCAAGCAATATATCCTTCCATGCTTCATAAAACATCCAAGTGATGCCAGAGTTGGGCATGACTTTCAAACAGCTAGCAGCCCACCCTCTGTAAAGCCCCAGGAATCCTTCCTCACGGATGACTTCGGACAGTGCTGCTGCCATGTCGGGTGGGCACTTCCCTTGTAGTGCTCCGACCATTAACCGTTTCCTAGCCACCTCCAATGGAAAACTGATTGTGCTTGCAGTAAGCCCTACAACAGACATAAGCCAAAATGAATTTTGTTTGATGGACAAAGAAGCACCCCCTTACATCATTTAATTTGTTAATGGAACAAACCAGCAAAGGACAAAGATTGATAATATAAGGTTTTGTTTCCAAATAGGTTTTTATAATTTTCATGGATGTTAATTTAATATATTGATATTTGGGTCTTCCTAAGAGGAGATTCCATTTACAGAAGGCCCAATCAGCACATGTAATACTACCAAAGGGATACTCTGTCTTGCATTTCCTGTGAATATTCAGAAGCAGCTTCTTTTCCTTGCACTAGGAGAAAAACAGAGCAATATCTAAAGTAATAAATGATAATTAAAATCAAGTTCTTACCAGACAGAGCTCCAACCATAAGCATCTCCGCACGATTTAATGATTTTTTCTTCTTTGCCTCGCAATAAGATTTCTTCATTGTATCATACATGAAATAGTAACAAGTGCTATATGGGAGCATGCCGATTAACGTAGGTGCAATTCCAGAATAAAGTGCTCCAATCCCACCTTCCTTGTAGAGATTTTTAAGGCCAAGGGAGAAATTGGGGTATGCCTCAGGATTTACAGTCAACCGATCCTGTAACAAACAAAGATTTTTAAGTTTCATTTCTTTACTTTCCAGTGTAATTGTCTATGCCAGTCCATGATTTTTCTAATACATAGCGACAACTATCAAGGCCTACAGAAACAATGGGTAATCAACTAAGTATGAAAGTAAGCAGCTGAAAGAAATACAAGAGAGCAGTGATAATCAGCATGAAAGTTGAAAGGCCTGCACTGATGCAGAATATAAAGGACCTACACTGGTGGGTGTCTTATTGGACCTCAGTTTGATGGTCAAAACTTGCACATTTGGCTTGATTGGTATGACTACAAAGGTTATCTGTACTTGTCCCACCAAGATGGCATGTTTTTGAAAGGAACTAATCAAATCACAACAAGAATCAACGACATATATAGTTCTAAGTTGATTATGGAAAATGGCTACTTTTAGGGTCATCTGCATCTTCTGATATAGACATTAATTTACGTATTTATTAGTTGGAGTCCTATTTGTTTTAGAGTTTGTCAATGGTTGATTATTCAACAAACAATATAACTATGTTGAGTACAATTTGTATTTACTGTGTATACTAGTTCTTGGACTTAAAAGTTGTAGCAAATTACTATATTTTTGGATTAGAATTTATCTTGGATTTATTTTGGAGTCCTGTGGGCATAGTACCATTAACATTAGATATTCAAGGCAGAAACAAAGAGAGAATGGTCGGGGGCATATCCCGCCATCACAAGAAAATATGAAACCATTACTATGACCCATACCCAAAAAGAAACAAGAAAGTTCAAGGGAACCAAAGAATTCTGAGAAAGGTAAGCATTTCAAATCTAGCTTTAGATCCTTATAGTTAATTTCACTCTTGGCATATAAAATACCTAAAAGTAATATGCTGTGAAAAGCAACAATTTGGTCTCCTTTCCTGTAACGTCAAAATAATTAAAAACAACAAACTTTGTCTCCTTTTCAAGGGAATAGGGCCCAACCAAATAGATCTGTTGCGCAAAACCTAGAAGTATAAATTCAAATGGCACACAAAAATGAAATGAAAACAGAGATAAAAAGAAGTAAAGAACACAGCACACAGATTTACATGGTTTGATTTGTAGTCTACGTCCGTGGGCGAAGGAGGAGCAGAAAATCACTGTACAATCAACAATGGTAAAAAATAGACTTGTGCACAAACTCTCTAACAAAAACCCTAAATGTCAAGTACACCCAAGTCTCTAGACTTCTCTCTCAAGTCAAAAGATACATACAAGAGAAAACCCCCAAAATACATTACTCTTCATATTTGGGTTGGACCTATAACCTGAATACGGATCAGGTCCATACTGCCCTATGCTTCCACCACAAACCACTGAAATTTTGCCTTCAGATTTTTCAACTTGATTCGGGGCAGGTCATGAAGCAGGTCGCAAACAAAGAATTCAAGGGACAAAAAGATCTCAAGGGAAAAACGACCAAGAAGAAGAAAGATATGAAAGAAAAAAAAAAAAGATGAGCAAGAAAAAGCACCCAAGGGTGAAACAGCCCAAATAAAAAGGATCAAGAGAAAAGGAATTCAAAGAAAGGAGAGACGATGTTTGGTCAACTTTGCCATCCCTAAGAGCTCTTCAAAGACCAAAATTCCAAGTTATACCCCTTCCCCTGTAAGAAGCTAAAACGGCAGCTCATTTTTAAAATTGGAAATACAATAGGTAGAAAGGAAGCACTCTTTCATGTTCATACCTCACCAAGAATCTTCCCAAAATCTTACCTTTACACCACAACCAACATCAAACATAATACACCAAAGGAACTGAGGTTGCAATTCCATGATAAACTTCCAAGAAGTGAAAGAAGTTCCAGAAATCAACACCCAGCATGCCACCATTGCTAGCTAAGCCATGAATAATTGTAATTATCTTGTGCCACAAAATATCCACCTCCAAGGGAAATCTCCACAACCACTTCCCTTTTATTCTTACACGCCATGGTTTGCATATCGGCAATAAGGTGGCAATATGTTATTTTTTGAGAATCTTTATTTGCTAATATTTTTGTAAGTTAAACAGAAATTTCATTAGATGGAACTATACAGAAAGTTAAGAGGAATCTTTTTTTCCTAATATCTCTGCTATATTTTGCCGATATGTTGGTAATATTTCAGATTTCATTGATAAATTTAGAATATTATTTTTCAAAAAAATAGAATATTATTAAAAGCCTTTCCATATTTCAATAAAATTATCATATTAAAAAAAAACATTTCCAAAGGCCTATTATTTTGATATGATTCACTTACTAAGTCACAATAATTCAAAAGTAGAAGAAAAACACATATAACTACAAAAAAGTACTCTCAAATTAATTAAAACATATAGTAACTAACAAAGACAAAGGTCAAAATGGCGAGTGACATATTTGATGAAGAGAAGATGGCTTAAAGATTAAAAGGGAGACAAAAAGAGAAAGATGCCTACTGAAATTTCTTAGGCTATGTTTGGTTTGAAGGAAAAGGTAGGGAAAGGAAGGGAAACCTTTACAAGGTTTTTTGAGCCTTATATGTCCTATTATACTTCTTCTAATGCTTCCTTCAAGGTTTATTGACTAATTCCACGTTTCTAGAAAACATTCCTGGTTTTTTTAGATTTTCCAAATATCTAAGCAAAATTAGTGAAACCTCTCGAAATTTCTCCTTCTCTACATGGTGAAATATCCACTGATATCGAAATTGCAAACCATGTTATAAACTATATCCCAATTAAACAAGGTGGTCTCCTAGCTTCCAAAGAAATCTCTCCTTACTTTTTCAAATCCATTTGCCAAACTCTGAATGCAAAGAAGAAATACACAGGGAGATTAGAAAAGGCAGATTTAATAAGAGTAATTCTTCCCCCAGTAGAAAGGATTGATTATTTCCCAAGTTGTGAACTTCTCAACAACCAGATCCCAAAAAGAAGTGACCCTTGGATTACCCCCAAGAGGCTACCCTAGTTATCTAATTAGCCAATATGAGACAACACAACCTGTTATGTTTGTGCCTTAAATTCTTTGTGGCAACCCACTTCATGAATCCGCTCCGAATTAATTTGGGAAAACCCAAAGGCAAAATTTCATAGTGGTTTGTGGTGGAAGCATAGGGCTTGGGCCGCTAGGTCCGAACCGATCCATATTCAGCTTATAGGTCCAAACCGAATAAGAAGAGTTAAGTATTTCAGGGGTTTTCTCTCTTGTATACTTCGTCATTATCTTGTGAGAAAAGAGTGAGACTTTGGGTGTATTTGGGGTTTAGGGTTTTCTGTGAGTGATTTCTGCTCCTTCGCCCATGGACGTAGACTATTATCCGAACCACGTAAATCGGGTGTTCTCTTTGCTTGCTTCTCTTTATCTCTGTTTTACCTTTCATTTTGGGTGCCATTCTTATCTGTTTTTCTTGGGTTTTCCGTGACACAACCCTAGTTATCTAATAAGAGTAACTCTTAAACCCCTATTCATCCATATTAAGACCAATAGTGCAACTTTTACCCAAGTTCATTTTTGCATTTGCTATTCTCTCAAAGCAAGATATCTATACTTTTAAGTTTATAGCTCCATCTTCTCACAAAAGAGTAAAGTGCCATCAAAAAATTGCAAGAAAGTACAGTGTTTTAAAAGACGTGGGAGGCATACACATGGAGGCACGCCTCTAGGCGAGGCACCCCCAAAATGCCCTTAGGTGTATGCCTCATATACCTTTTGCAGGGGGCACACTAGACTAGAGGCATACGCCTCATGCACACCTCATACAAAAAGGTACAAAGAAAGAATAAATAAATAAATAAAAAGAAAAGAAAGTAAAGGAAAAGAAAGGGAAGGGAAAGAACTCGCTTGCTTCGTTTTGCTTGCCTCCACTTTGACATGACCCCCTCTTCAACTAGTGTTATGCATCTTCATTCTTCTTAATATAAGACATCTTTCACTAAAAACAAAATGAAATCACCTTTCCTCTTCTTCCTCATCCCCCTTTCATATGCTCAAGAAGCCTATGCCTCTTACATTTTGAACACGCCTAATGCCTCGCATCACGCCTCCGCATTTTAAAACATCGAGTAATAATAGCATTGTTTCTCCCAAATCTCCAACTCTTATACAAGGCACATTTTTTTATCAGCAACAGGAAAATATTTTATTAATTAGAAGTAAGATTTACAATAATATGAGTAGCCTCGACTACCCCATGATCTCAAGACAAAAAGACACTATTTCTTACAATTACAAATGAGCCCAAAAACAATTCCCTCTATTGACCCCTTGCTTAGCAAAATGATCAGCTAAGCTGTTAGTTGATCTAGGGACCCACTGCAACATCACCTGCATGTCTTTTGAAAATCTTTTAAATTTCTTAACCTCATTCCTGAAATACCATGGAACTTTGTCATTATATTTCAACCAGCTTATGATCACCTTTGAATCTCCTTCATCACCAACTTCCCAATCCAAATCTCCCATGCCTTTTGAACCCCAAATACAGCTGCCTTCAGTTCTGCACCGGTGGAGTCCCCTTGCCCTATAGACCCAGAATACAGAAACACCAATTTTCCTTTGCAGTTTCTTATTACTCCTCCCATTCCAGCAGCACCCAGATTGCCAAGACAGCTTCCACCATAATTCAATTTAAAAAAAATCACCCACTGGTGGATCCCATTTTAACATTTGTTTCTTCTTTGCTGAAGATGATGCAGCAATTGTACCCCACCGTCTGATAATGTCATCAAAAGTGAAGTCAAGAAACAGGTTTGTTGTCTTCACCTAATGTGTCACCTTTACCATTATGATTTCAATCAGAGCCTCTTTGCTTCTTTTTTTTCTCCTCAAAGATTTTCTTGTTTCTTTCTTCCCACAACGTCCAGACCATTTCGGCTCTTGTGCACTTCCGAAGTAATCTTCCTCTCTTCCTTGGCCAGCTGAAAGTCGAGGGATCAAACAATCTATACAAAGCACAACTATCAACATAATAACGAGTAAGCTCAGGACCTTTTCCAAGAGGTTAGAAAGGAAGGGAAATAAAGGGTTTCCTTTATTTCTTGTTGTTTCTTCTTCCCTACCTGTTTTCTTCACTCCTTGCTATTTCTTGTCATTTTCTCCTTTGTTTTTCTAATTACAGACTCACTACTGATCCATAATCTACCTCTCATGGAAGAAAGACCCATGGTTTTGTGATATAAGAGAGAGGAGGTCTTACTTTAGGCAAGTAGCTATCACCTTAGCCACAATATTATATATGCTATTCACCAGGCTGATTGGTAAGTCACCAAGGCAATGTGGATACACACTTTTTGGGGGGCAAGGAAAATAAAGGTTGCATTCATACCAGCATGTATTTTTCCTCTAGCATAAATTCTTCAAATGTCTCCAAAAGGCCTAAAGTGACATTCAAAACATTCCACCTCCTATACTATAACACTTATTTCCCCTGCAGAGAAAAATCTTGTCTCTACCTCTACGTAAAGGCCATTACCCAATGTTGATTCCAAGTATCTGGTCTTAGGAGGGGTAGATTGGGCATGGTCCTAACTTTTGGCTTTTTTAGGCACAAGGTGGCCACTATCAAATTCAAACCTGCATTCTTATGCTTGCCAGCCCAAGATTTTACCATCACACCAAGTAATGGCCCCATGACTTCACCACTATGTATTGTTTAAAAATAACGGGATGCTGGGAAGCAAAAGTGTGATAGCACTTTTAAGCATCACTAAAAACAAACTTCTAACTAGGGTCCAGCTTAGAAATTGCACCAAAAAGTGTCAACAAAAGTATTTCATCTAATAAACTAGAACTTGAAATTTTCTCATCTATAAAACTAAGGAACTTTTCTCTAGTTGGAGCACAAATCTGTTTCATGCCACTAAACAGCCAAAGTCTTTATATGATGCTGCATACATGGAAAGAAAAGAAAGGAAATATTTTTTTTGGTAAAACAAAAAAAAGGAAATATTGTCTGTTAAGGAAGTGAACCATCTCGAGCAACCAAAATGCCATATTTTTGTTAGAGCTTCCTGGAACTGCATATATCCAGAAGCATGCAAGTGCTGGCTTTACCTGTGAAGGACGTGTGTCAAAGGTCAGTTCCACCTGAGATTATTAGAGCTTTCTGTTGGGAAATTTTTCACTCTAGTATCAAAGTTCAAAACTTAAGAGACTTTGCAGCCGAGAAGAACTAACTGGAGTATTTCCCCACATATCTGTTTCCTCTGTCTTGCAAATGGGCAAGCTACTTATCATTTTAATGGGAAAAGGGGGTCTAGAAGTGCAAGCATTGAAAGTATTACAGTCAAGGTGATACATTAGGTCAAAGCATTGAAAATCTTTGACAATATGCTTTGGAGGACCTTTCTAAAGGTCAGCTATGGCTAGCAGAATCCTCTAGCACTACAAATTGCACTTCTTCATTTTGGATCCCTCCAGCATAAAATCAGAGTAAACCAAACTTTGATGATAGCAGTTTGGATAAACTGGGACCTTCCAGCATAAGAGGAACAATTAAAGATGGTAACAGCTGTAATCAAGGACTAACACTAGAAAAAAGCACCGAACTTCAATAAATTAATAGCAGATGGGTAATCCCAAAGTATTACTAAGTTGGCTAAGGAACAATGGGCAAGCACACATGACAACATCAGAATGCTATGAAAAAAAATACAAGGGTTAGGGAGGTAAGAATAAGCCAATGCAACTGGGTCCATAAATCAGTAAACTGTATGGTCGATGAATTGGTAATACGAGGTTAACAGATCTCAGCCTTTTTTTAATCTTTGGGAGCTGGAGCTGATGGACAATTAGTTTTAAAGTAACTGTCAAGTCACAAAAGGAAGGGCTTGAAACAACAGAGGTTGGCCAATACTTCTAAGGTATTGTATATACCATATTCTTTTGCACATCTAATAAAATGTTTATTTACCCATCAGAAACTAGTGTGACGCCAAGAGGAGTCAGGGGAACCCAATGACAACATTTTTTGTGGAAGTGAAGAAACGGTAATTAAGAGAAAAAAAAAAAAAAGATGCACAAGATCTGAAAGTAATGGTAATCAAACAAGGACACAAGACCAGACATCTTACTCAATCCAACAAGCATATCACCCATACAGGCAGCAGTTGAGAATTCAATGTTCTCATTTTGCATGAAGAAATCTAACATCTAAGTAAAGAGTAATGTTATAGGACCAACACTGGACAATAATAAGGAAACTAGAACCAAGCAACAAGTTCTGATCCAAACATTCTAAAATTCCACCATCTCCACAGAAAGATCAGGCTATGGAGACCTCCCCCCACCTATCTGTTGTCATTCTATTGGAAATTACAAAAGCTCTTACTGGTGTGTGATGTGCACATAGGTTTACTAGTCAAGTATTTGGAGAAAAATTCTAAACAATGCAAAAATCTATTTTTTCATTCCCCAAGGATCAATACCACAATTTATTAATGATCAAAAGGGACATAAGAATACAATTCTCATTCCATAAGATGGAAACTGGAGAGAGAGAGACCAAGATATTTAACAAGAAAACTGAAAGCACCAAAGGGAAAACAGAAAATCTGAAAGCAGTGTACATCGCCAGCCTTTCTAACCACCTCAAGGAAGCCCCCAGCACGAACATAAATCAGAATGCAATGCACTATAGGTAGTTCTTCTATTTAAAACTAAAAGCCTTGGATTGCTAATATTACTTTGGGAGTCCGAGTCTGCATAAAGTGGAACAACGAATTGTGATTGGCTGGTGGATTGAACACAAACACATGGCCTTTTCAGAAGATCCCTGATCTGATGGATGGTTTGTAGCAGTAACATCACCCTCCACATGACAGAAACAGGGAAAGCTGCCTAGGGAAGAACTACAATTTACTCATGTGTGTGTGTCCATATATGGATACAAATTACAAGAAACAAATAAATAGTCATCAACACAAACAATGATACATATGTTGTTTTTATTGTCTACAAGAAAGAACAAAAAACAACAGAAATGCTGCTTTTTATTCTACAATTTTATTTTTTCATAATACAAGCAATGACTATAACATAAATTCCATTACCTTCAACACTTCAAGAGGATGGCAGACAAGTGTGCTCGTTATTCCTGCAGCTGCACCACCAATAGCAACTGGGGAGATCCATGAGAATGAGAGATCCAAATTAACATTCCCAATCTTCAATTTTTGGTTTCCATTCTGTTTACATTTCTCTTGCACTGATGTCATGGTTCGCTTGACACATTCAAATGTGCCCAGTTCAATTGCTTGAGTTGGGATTATACGGAGCATGTTAATGGTGTTGCCTGCCCACAACCCTTGCCAACCTTGCTTCTCAATGACCTCAATGAAGCTACCAGCAATACTTCTTGATCCAACACCAACCACCATCCTCGTCCTGCAAATTTGGCAATAATTAGGGCTTCAATACTCTTTGCAGTGTGATAGATTTCCCATTATTTTAGACACCTAGAATCAACCATGGAATCTATTGAACATTCTTCCAGATTACATGTTTTGACTTAGAGAAATATATGAAAACATCCCTGGTATATCTTAAGAATTCCGCTTGATTAATATTTATGTGATCTGCCTTTTTCTTAACTCTTTAATAGTTGGCTAGTGGATTCATTGAGGAGAAAAGGAGAAAAAGTGCAAAGGAAAGACCAACCAGGCAACCAACAAATTGAAGGAAAAACAGCAGAAAGTAATGGAAGAGGTGAAGAGGGAATGCCTACAACAGTGAACCTGCAATCTTGGCAAGTTCCACCTTCTCACCCTTCCCCTGCTTTGTCAAGCCATTTACAGAAGAGAAAACCAAGAAGCCATCGGGTCGATCATCCACTCAGACAATCATATCAAAGTGTGGACATTTTGAGTAAGCTTGGCCATCCAGCTAAGTTCCAGGGTTAATAGAAAATATTCTAAAATTTCCCTGTTCATTTTAGTTTTTACAGAAGATATAGCAATCCAAATATTTGTTAGAGAACACAATTTAGTGAACAATGTTTTGAAGAAACTTAGACATTAAACCCCTTAAATGGTACCTTATGACAGTAAGCATTTATGTTTATGTTTGCTTATATGGATAAAGTATTGGAAAGGGAGATAAATGAAGACCAAAAAATATTACATGAGACTTCCTATTCCACAATCCCAAAACAAGGAAATAGGCTGTATAAAAATATTAAAAAGGAAAAAAGAAAAGAAATCTGACAATGTGTTATGGCATCCCAATCTGCACAAGTGAGCAAAAAAGAAAGCCCTTCCACTCTCTACAGGAACACAGTAGTAGAAGAGCTGCTTCATAACTTTAGGAATAATGATCTGGATTTTCTGTGCTAAAAGCCAACTTATTCCCATAAATTCTATGATTCTTCTTTTCTCAAATAAGCCAACTGGAAGCATAGGGAAAGCAGCTTTCTTACCAGCATGGAGGATTGGAAAGTGAGGCCAAGAAAAAAGTAATCAAGTAGTCACAGGAAATGTAATTTCCAAGTGAAGAAAAGAAACTGTGGTTTCCAATTTTAGTAATTTTTTTCTGTCTTCATCAGAAAGCAAGCTAGTTTGGTTAAACCACCACAATTAGCACAAAAAAAAAAAACAGTTAATAGTACAGAATTAGGAGATTCACGGTATTGAAGTTTAAACAGAAAATATTTAGTGTTAGGAGAATGGAAGAAAATAGGACTTTAGAGGATTCAAGAGCTAGAGTCAGGGCAATAACTCAAAACTACAATAGAATAAAAGTAGATGTAAATATAACAAGAAAACAAAAAGGGGATGAAATAGAGGAGCTATGTTATATAGGTCTTAAGCCCTTGACTTCAGCAAGTTTCTAACATCATATATTTACATATGGAAAGACATTAAAAAACACTAGAACTCCGAAAAATATTCCAAAAAAAGAAATAACTTTACAGCCCATTATGTTCACATGAAACTTTAGAAAATAAAATCATTTCTAAAATCACTCATATCAAAAAGAAAATCCTAAAGCTCTCAAGCTCCTATTTCAAAAATCAAATAACTGAAAAATAAAATATCTCACCATATTCCCAAGTGTTGTCTGTTATTGGATAGACAATATAATAAGTTTTTCCATTGGTATACATACTTCCCTACAATTTCATCTAACAAACTAAGCCAAATTAAGAAACAACATTAAGAAGGTGAGAACATGTGCTATCTTCCCCCTTGGATTATGGTAAACAAGGACCAGAAAAGAAGAAGAAGAAGGACAGTAAAGCCACCTGATTGTTTCTAGAGGAGCAAGAACAGCTTTAGCCATGGCACCCGCTAAAGCCCCACTTACAAACTCCCCAACTTCTCTAATCCTTAAGAAATTCTGCATCACATAAAAGATTACATAAGAACCATGGGAACAATATAATATTTTCTTTCCTTTTTAAAAAATAAATTATTCCAAGAATTGCCAGAAATCTTAAGCATCCCCAAGCAGCGTGTTCTTCCAGTTCCATTGGTCGTTTTACAATACAAAGACCCACAGTAAACAAACGCTAATTGCTCAGAATCATCAAATTTTCCACCTTCAGTCCTTATCAATCACACCGTCAGATCATAACCAAGAATAAAAAACAAAATCAACATGAAATAACATGCTTAATAAAATCTAAGATTCGTAAATAAATGACAGACAAATGGCAATATATTGAACAAAACAAAAATCAAATAAGGTAACATCAGAAATATAAGATACAAGAAATAAAACTTTTTAAATGTCCAAAAAAATTACTTCTCAAGAAAGAAGAAGAAAATCAATAGAGCATATAAGCATACAGCCTATATTAAAATCAAAAGGCAAAAAATAATTTGAAAAAAAAATGAAAATGAGTTTCAAAACCAAATAAACTAATAAAAACTTTCGAACATATTAGACAAAATCATCATAAAACAAAATGAAAATCCTCGAAAGGTCAAGTTTTTAAGAATCACAACCACCCTCCTACTTCGATTACTCAACTTCAACCATAACAGAAATCATAAAAAAGAAACAATAATACATATAAAAAAGTAAGAAAATTTGTTTAAAACATAAAAAAAGGAACTCACTTTAAGGGCTTGTCCAACATCCGGAACTTGAAACCGCAGCTCGAAACTGCCCTCTTTTTCGAGCTCGACCTCCTTGGGAACCATCATCACTCCATAAACATCTCCTAATACGCAGTAACTCGTCTTCTGCGGTTCCGATTTGAACGCCATTAATCGTTAGAAAAAGCAAATAAAAATTCAGTGAAAAAGAAATCAAAACAAGAACTCCAACTGAAGAATGATTCAAGTCAAGCTCAAATGTTATATGAATTACAAAGACATGGATCTCACGTGCCTGCGTCGAAGATTTTTTTATCATTGTCGGATGTTGAAATTTTTTTTCTTTTTCTTTAATTTTCAGGCTTCAGAGGAAAAACAGACAGAGGAAGGAGCTCGGGAGGGAGGGACGTCCGTTTCAGGGGGTTTTCAAACGAAAAAAATATGCGATTGAATTAATAGGAATTATAAATGAAAAGAAAAAATATAAACGTAAATTACTATAATATCCCTGAGTTAGATATCATAAAACGGAAAAGGATAACCTGAAACGAAAATACTCGAGTCGCAGCGAAGGGACAGATGTAGAAAGACTATTAGGTCACAGCGGGATAACGGCTAGAAGATTAGCAGCAGGAACCCCGTGGAAAAACCGAAAAAGGTTGCAAGAAAAGGTAGGAGTGGGACCGTCGGTTGACTGAGAACAAGCTTAACCCCTGTGGCTGTGGCCATGGTTATTGGCTTTCTCCTGTGACAACCAATCACAGACCAACGATTGAGCTGGGGGTGGGGGCTGGGTTCTGGTGTTAGTGTGAACTGTTATTAAGCGGTATTGAGCGTATTGGCTTTGTAGGAGATCCGAACTCCAATCAGCCAAAATTTTTTGCAATCAGAGAGGGAGATGGACGTGAGGATTGATGGGACCTGCATTATTTTTGGATGGAATTGGTGGGACCTACATGGCAGGTTTGACAGTTTTGCAGAACATAGATAATGTGGATCTGATTTCTGAGCCCTGCAATGAAATTCGTGAACACTTGAAAAACGGTACCCTATCTACTGAAAAAAAAAATATATATATATATATATATCATAGTATATTTATTACCCTATCTACTAAGAAAACCCTATCATAGTATTTTGGACTTTTTGTTCTTCCAACCTTTGAAGTTTTTTAAAAAATTAAACCCTAAGGCTTTATTTGTTAAGAAGAATTTTTTAACTTTAAAAGAAAATTAGTTCTTGTAATTATATATTTTTTTTATTTTTTAATGATATTCTCAAAAAGATAAATAAAAACGGAAGAATGACTATTCATCACACCAAAAGAATTATTAGCCCCATACTATAATTGGGGTGGGTGCTAATTCAGAATTGATGCCAATACACAGGTAGGTATGGTGTTTTAGGGTGGGGGTATGTGTCATTTTGAACCGTGTGGAGTTGTAGTAGAATTCAGAATGTGGCAGTGTGGTGTAGTGTACTTTTCCGAGTGGCCTTAAAGTTGTCACTTGCATCATAGTTGGAGGACAAAAATGGTCATTTTAATTCTTTAGGGTCCAAAATGATTTTTTTGCAAAGTTCAAGGGTGGCTAGAGTCAAAAATCATTTTATTATTCTTTTAAAATTCAAGAAAAAATCAGTCAAACAAGGGATGATCACACCTACAACATCAATAATCATCAAAATTTCAAGCCCATTAGGAGGAATAGAAAATTCTCTATAGAAATTCCTAGTAACCCAAGCTAAATTAACCATGAACACCGCACATCTATTAGCCTCCCTCTAACAGTACATGTTATTTTATAGGAGCTAAAGTGGCAAAACTAAATAACTTTTCTGGTATAAAACTGAATAACTTAATATTCTATTTTTAAGGCTTGGATGATGAGAAGGATAGTGAATAATATATATGGTTATATAAAGTTTATAATTAATAAATTTATAAATATTTATGTAAACTTATTTCATCTTTATGAGTTAAAGTGATTAACTTTTTTTATTTTTTGTTTTGATAATCTATACTACCCATAAAAGAGCGAATGTCCCTTTTTTTTTGAATTTTCATTGGACATTTCCTACCCGTTATCTAAGCAATATACAACGGGCATAAAGAGGACATATATGTCATTTATTCTTACTCCAAAAACTGCCAACTTGTAACAGTTAAGAAACTGCCCACTTATAATTGTTAAAAACTTCCCATGAATTGTAAATAATTTTGTCTTAGAGATACTGTCACGTGCAAATGCACATACTTGTTTACTAGTATATATAGTATATCAACTAGCATGTGTAGTTCGCCCATTAAGAATCTCGCAAGTGACAACTTGTTCAATAGCTTATTCATTGTTTCTCAACCCATTGTTGATCCTGTTGGTTGGACCACTAACCCAATCTGAATCCTAATCCTAATTTGGGTCAACTTCTAACCCACTATATTACAAAAAACTATTGTTTTGATCAACAATTTGACAACATTCATGAACGGTTGAACCTTTGATCCATTTAGTGGTTATCACTTTTCTGTTTTTTGTTTTTTGTCTTTTGTCTTTTGTCTTTTGTCTTTTGTCTTTTGTTTTTTATTTTTTTGTTTTTTATTTTTTTATTTTTTTTTTGTTTTTTATTTTTTTAATTGATGGCCCATTGGCTCATAGAGGAAATTGTTCAATCTCTAAGCCAGGGGTTTAAAAAATTGAGCTTGTTCACTAGATGAAGCACATTTTGATTCAGCCGCTTTACTGTTAATTATCAAATGGCTCCTTAAACCTACATGATACAAATAGTTATAGAGCCTACTTGAAATAACACAATGGTGCAAATGTATGGTATAAGATGATTTTAAGCATATAAAATATATAGTTACATGTTCAAATATAAAAACATATGACAATTGAAGAACTATAATCTTCCCTTCAAGTCAATGGTCAACAAGATGAGAGCTTGTCAATCCATATTATATTGGGATGATAAGGACCATAGTTGGACCTGTATATTATCTAAGCAAGAAACAACTAGAATTCTTTTACAAAAGTTGTGTTTTGAAGCAAATCTATATCCATATCTATACTGCTATTAAAAGTATGAATGAGATTATGAAACTTTTTTTAACTAAAACAATGTTGTTATTAAATTTATTCCCTCTCTAATTATGAGGGGATAAAATGTAATTAGAACTATTACTTTTGACCTCATTTAGTTCCTTCTCATTAAGTCTTATGTTTGAGGTGCTAAGTCTTACTCTCTCAATAAATCCTATATTTAAGGTGTTTTTCCCACCATAAATTCTATTAATTAGATCTACACATTTAACAACATAAAATCCATGCTTTCTAAAGCCAAGCCAAGCTTATGGAACTTGTCTTGTTGACTAAAATATCCCTATTTTTGAATTTGGTCCCTCTATTATTGTAAGGGTAGAAAATGTAAATTGAACTACTACTTCTTACCTCATTAAGTCTTATACACTTAAATATACCTTGTTACTCTTTTACCTTCATTTTCTTTTAAATTTTCAAAAAGAACCAAAGAGAAGACAAGCCTATTTTCTTAGTGTATATATGGTTTATAATTTCCATCATTTAGAAATCTTTCTATTGTTACTATTAGGTTGTGACTGTTAGTAATAAAAGCCTAATTTGAGAAAAATGTAAAGAGAATAATTCTTCTTATATATTATATATCGCTATTATTGTTTAAGCTAGGTTTCAAGTTTACCTGGGTTGAACAATTGAAGTGGTATTCTCTTTTGGGAAAACATATAACCAGATAGAAAACCTTAAGTTTCAAATTAATGGTTGTTAGGCTCATTGTATCATGAATAGTTGGGTTTTGGGGTTCACCTAGGTGGTGGGTATCTCATGATTCACCTAGGCATGGCAAATTTTCCCATTTCCCCGATCCCTATGGGGATCCCCGCCCAAGGATGGGGATGATTTTTCCCCCACAAGACGGGGATGAGGAAATTTTCATCCCTATTAACGAGGATGAGGAGAGCACTCCCCACCCCATGGGGACCCAATCCCCGCCCTATGGGATCCCCGCTAATATATATGTATACATGGTTTTTAAAACCAGACCAAACCAAACGGTCGGGCCGAAAAAATCGGGAATCAATCAAGTGACCGGTTCCGTTTTTCCCCAAAATTAAATTTTTGCCAAAAAACATTGATTTGGTCATCAAACCGCTGACTCGAGCGGTTTAACTGTTCAAACCATTTTGATCATTTTTTAATTTTTTGTCAGAATAGGTCGACCGTTGAGTTTGAATGGTCGAACCATTCGACCTGGGAACTGGACCCCTAACCAGTTTGTTGTCCGGGTCAATTTTAAAAACCTTGTATGTGTATATGTACACATACGTCTATATATTAACATTTTTAAAAATATTGTTGAATATGTTTCAATCTTTTTTAATAGGATTGTAAGTTTTAATTATTTTATTTTTTAAATAAAATAAAAAACAAAAAACAAAATGGTTGACATTATAAAAAATCACTAGGAGTGGGGATCCCCACGGGAATGGGTATAATGTTGTCCCCATTAGTGGGGATGAGGATGGGGAGAGGCTCCCCGTCCCCACCCAGTCCCATTGCCATTCCTAGGTCCACCGATTGAACAATCATATTTACTCACCATTCAGTTGAACTCAAGGTAGTATATTATATGGGTGTATCATAATGATAGCTGCACCTAGGTTTTGCTTGTAAACATGACAAAACAAACTCATATAAGTAGCCTAATTGGGTGTGATTGCTCGATTGTAGATAAGCATAGTTTTAGATTTTCAAAATAAGGACTCATCTATTAAAGAACATAGAAGGGTAAAGAACATGAAGAGTATGTTTAAGTCTAATGTACTCAGCCCACAAGGTATATTTAAGTCCATTCTAAACTCAGGCTATGTTTAAGTCAATTTTTGAAAACTTAGGCTATATTTAAGTCTTTTACTCTATTTTTTATCACTAATAAAGTTTACTAATTAAATCTATATCCAGTACTTTTAAGTTTTAACAATACAAAACCCATATTCTTAAAGTTAAACCAAAAACAAAACCATTCTTCTATCTAGGTGGTAGGTGTGTAATTCAACTATTTGGTTCAAATGGGTGATGAACAAAAATTATTTTTTAATGATGATGGAAATAGAATATAAAATTTAAAACCAATCTGAAAATGAAATTATTTTCTTGTTTGGTGGTAGGTCAACAATTCAACATTTTGGGACAAATGTATCAAATATGCTTGTTAATGATACTTAAAAATTTGAGGCATAATTTGATATACAATATGATTATCTCAAATTTGGATGATTTATTTAAAAAATCGGATTGGATTTGGATTTGACTCCATCCAATTTGATTAAAATCCAAATCTGACTATATTATAATATTTATTGATTTTAACATATAAATTTTATATAACTATATTTAAAATAT